TCATGTATTTGAATTATATTATAACCAACTTTCAGAATATGGGAAATGTCATGTATTTGTACATTGAAAAGAATATTAAAGTATCACTACAGCTCATGAAAAGATTGTATAACTTCTTTTTGACATGCAGTAAATACACATATTTTGACGTATTCATTGATCATGACCAGACAAAATATTTCATCCCAGGACGTATTATCTTCCTCATTAAGTGTGGTCTGTCATGGGGAATGAAACATCTAGCAAATCACAGAATGCAGCTGCAGAGCCAAAGAAAACGACGACAGAAGATGAGACGAAGACGCCGACCGGAAGGGGGAGAAAAACAACACCTCAGAACGATGGAGACGATAAAGGAGAGGTCAGGAATAATAGTAGACCAGGGATTGTTCCCAAACCACTGACAGCACTTTCTAATAGAAGTGAGGTAGGCACAGAACATGACAGTCATGCTCGCTCAACCGGATCGTTTTTCAAATGATTGAATTACGTTGTTTGTAAATGACGCCTTGGCTCGAAAGCTTCATGTCGATGTATGCTAATTAACACAAGTGTAAATTGTACATGGCTTTCATATATTTTTCAGTACGCATTCATATTTACGATAATGATTTTAAGCTTACATTTACCAATGTTCACGTGTAATCAATGTAAATCACCAAATATTCCACCTGTGAGTATGGTAATGGAAACATGTCGTATTTAAAAAAACAAATACGCAATACGGTATATATGAGTAGTTGAATAGTGACGACGGTGAAAGGCATATCTGTAAGAAGTTCGTTAAATATGCTACTCTACCAATTGCTGTCTTCATAACTTCTATGCTTGTTTGTAGGAGGAATATGTTCGTTACCACGGAAACACTCCAATGGGACGGCTACAACGTAGTGACCTTTATCCGTTTTTTAAGTACCAATATAGACCTCGTAGGGGCAGGGACTATCGGTTTAGTGTGAAAACTGCGTCTACAGTTTCGGATGTAGATGTCTCACCCAACCATATCCCTGCTGACCCCCCAGTAGGAGAAGTGGATGAGTCGGAGCTGGATGATACCAAGCTGACAGAGGCCGATATTTACGACCGAGCAAGGAGCGTACGTATACGTCAAGATATCTGACTTCTTAAAAAGAGGTATAGTTATTTCAAATTTAGGGTAGCCATATGATTCAAATATTGTGTTGACAAGTTTACTTATTTAGTGAGAAAAAAAAATCTTCAAATTTGAATAATCTAGAAAAAGAAACAGGCGATTCGAAATGCAAGTTATTTCAACATATAAATATAGTTTGGTGAACCTTGACTGAGTTAATACGCGTGCTCTTTTATCTGCTGTTTGACATATTCTTCTTATAGCGATCAAATTTGTTCGTTATGTTGGCCATAGTGTCATTGAAAGAGGAATGATTAGTCTTAATTCAATTTTGCATTAAATATTGTCTTTACTGCATATTACATATCTATTGTACAGCGAGCTTGAATATGCTGTACTTTGGTATTGGACCATTTAAATACTTTACTCACTGAATACATCATTCAATAATTAACCCTATTCATAGCCACGATTAAATGAACAATAACATTGTTATCATGGTAGACAGGTATATTATGTCTATAAAATTACATTTCTTAACTAATATTACCATACACTGTGAGCGTGATAGTCAACTTCATTCATTTATAGATAACGCGGTTGTTTCCACTTCATTAGTCAATCCAAACGTTGATATTTTCGATAACATTCAACAGTTTAAAATATGATAAATGAAAGTTTTATTTTATAACAAACAAACAATAGACGTTTTAAAGTTGCAACGTTTCACGATTGTGTTGTCCCTTTGTCGGAAGCTTGACAAAGGGACAAATCAGTTTTGAAATCTTGCGACACCTTTTATACGTTCATTGTTCGTCTAAATGTATAAAGTAAAATTTTCAAACGGGACAAGTTTGCCTTAATTCATAATAATATCTATTTTGTTTTAAGGCACCTGCAACTTTGAATGACAGCTACAAACACCTAACCGACTACTTATTCAAAGGTATCGAGTTTATGAACCAACCTGATTTGTTAAAAACACGTGTGGTCATGATATGGTTGAGTAGACAAGATTTGACGTCACCCTTGTCTGGCCCTGCTGATTATGAAACCCCCGAAAAGGGCATCGTACGGTTAAGCAACAACACACAGTTTGAATACTCGCGCTTTCTGTCGATTCTGTATGAAAAGGCTGGCATTAAGTCGGTGGAAATATCGGGCGTATTCAAACCGATAAGTTACGAACCAGACAATGGCAAAGATCTCCCTGAAACCTCATGGATCGCTGTCTATCTTGATGGTAGATGGCAATTGATAATGCCGTATTTTGTATGTACCAGACGGAAACATACGTGGCTTTCATCGGAACCAACAAATAAAGAAACTATGAAGGACGATGGAGAGGGACCTGTTTTCAACTACTTTTACTTTTTGATGAATCCAAAGCAAAGCATCAACTGGTTTTATCCGAACGAACCAAAATGGCAACTGTTAAAGCGGGCATTACAAAAAGAAGAATACTTGGAGCTTCCTCTCTTCAAGTCAGAATTCTTTGAACTAGGCTTAACACTTGTTTCCAAAAATTCGTACAATTTGCATTCAGAAGAAGGTAGGGTAATAATAGACATTTTATCGCAGGAGGATCTTGCCGATGAGATCTATCTTTGGTATGATATAGCACTAGTTACCTGTACTGGGAAACACAATGTAGACACTCAGAAGATGATAATCCACGACAACCTCCAAAGGCTTGTGGCAATGGTTAAACACAAGGAGAAATGGATGTTCCAGATGACTTTGCCTATTGAGGGAGTGTACAAGGTAACAATATATGCTAGTGTTAATGGCGATGACTTCGGACCAATAGTCAAATTTCGACTACACTGTGAAAATCGATTTGACAAGTGTAGCATGCTTCCTGCTGATCCGAAGGAAGTCGGGTTCGGTCCAGGATTAGCTGCTAAGGACGGGGGGTTATTGTTTCCATCTCATTCTAACGGGTTTTACTCTGTCGGACACAGCACTGTTTTCACAGTATCGTTTGTGCTTGCAAAAGACATAGTCGAGGCAATTGAGGTGACTAGCACCCTTGCGCAGACAGAGGAAAAGGGGGTCAAAGGGTTCAC